GGCTGTTATTTATGTACCGCGGATTTAAATTCGTATCGTGCATATCATGCTCGCTCCACAGCTGGATCGTAAAAATTCCGCCGCACGGAAATGACTTTCTCTCCGTGGCAAAACTTACGTACTGCGAAAGGGAGGAGAGAGAAAAAAAGATACGAGGGAGGGGGAGGGAAAAGAAGGGAAAAAAGAGGACAAAAGCAGAGAGATATGAAACGCGAACGTGTGCGTGTGTCGAGAAACAAGTACGGGACAATCGTGCCGATACTCTTTCCCACCTGTCGATCAACGTTGCACCAGCGTGCACTTTATCCGCGTGTTTACCAAGCAACCGGCAATTACGACAAATCCTCCTCGTCCGCGATATTTCAAGGAGATTAACTTTAACATCTCTCCCGCGGTAACTTCTTTTCCGCGCTCCAACAAGTACCGCTCACTTCAAAATTAAACGGTTATTATCGATAAAACTTTCAACATCTCTCGCGTATAATGAATGTGTTTTATATATCTTGCGTTAATAATAGTTAATGTCTTTTTTTTCTAAAGAAATTCTAATAAATATCTTCAATTTTTTTTTGATATAAGATTTTTGATATTTCCTTGAAATATAGATTTAAATTAATTTTTAATTTAAATCGAAATTAAAGAATACTTATTTCTCTATTTATTTTTCTCGTTATAAAACGCGTGCGTGTAACATAACATCACGCGCGTAATCGAGAAGCAACGATGACCGGAGGCAGGGAATTAATATTCATATACCTATAGGGTATACAAAACACACGTCAAACTCACAGTCGTACGAATAAATTTCGAGATGAAAGAATGATAATGATAAATAGTAGCGGTAACTCCGATAGAAAGTTGAAGTAACCAGTGGCAATAAAAATATATTTTCTAAGAGCGGGCCTTGTATGCGGGTTCGCCGATTACGAATTCCGACGAGGAGAAAAAGATCGGAAGGAACGCTCGGCGCGAGAACTCGCGCGCAGGTGTAGATGGCCGCTTTTGGACCACCGTGTAGTAGCCGGAGTCGCAGGCGGGGGTCTTATAATATCGCGTCATACGAAACGATGAAATAGTGGCCGTAGCGAAGGAATGTTCCCTACCACTCGAGTCGTCGAGTTAAGTTGACTGGCATTGCGTGGTTCGCCCGGTTCGACCGACCGCTTTCAACCGGTGTGTCTGTTCCTCGCCAGTGTTTCTCTCTGCGCGTGTACAGGGCGTTTGGCAATTGCCGGTGCAGCCGGAAAGGAATAAGAGTTCCTCGTCACGAAACTCGACTCGATCCCCCAGGACCTTTCTCCCCTTCCTCCTCTTTCCGAATCTCTCTCATCGAGTCACCGACTTGTGAATTATTTCCGATCGCAAATCGAGTGACGGGAGGGGGATGGGGGAATCAAAGATTTTGAAAGGGAAAAAAGAGGAGATTTTGTTACGAGAGACGGACCAGAGTTCAAACATTTTGAAGAACGTCGGAAGTGATACTCCGTCGGTTTCTTAACCGCGGATCTACTTGTTATTTTATGCTTATTAACAGTTTATATTTGCGTATCCGCCTACTCGATGTGTAGAGAATTCATGCACTGACACATGTATCATAACCACTTTTACGAGCGATATCAATGGGCGAATATTGCAATAAACATCACGATACTGACAGCAATATTGCCATTGAAAAGATAATGCGCGTATAAAGTATTAAGATGAGCTCGCAATATCCAGGGGAAAACTGTTAATATCATTGACTACAAAAATTTGACCATCTTTCATAATTCAAACATCTCTAACATCGGCGAATATGTTTCAAAAATTTGTAGATTTTCAAAAATAAAATGTCAACATTGAGAACATTAGTTTCTTTCACAGCGCAGAAAGTATCGAACACTATCTTACAATATAAGATATAATTTTATAAACGTAAGTATAAAGTGTGTACATCAAAGAACTATAAAACTGAAAGGATCTATTGAAAATATAAAAACTTTATTACACATATCTACGGATGTATTCACGTGAAAAGCACTAGACCAGATGTTTCATAAAATTTTTGCAGAGTTAATAAAAGATTACGCAGCATCAAATGCATTATTAGTACAAGTGCTTCGCTAACACTTATTTCGCGATAATGCTCGAGTACCGCGATCGCAACGATTACCATTCATCCAAGTCAATCGGCGTAAAAGGATATAAACGGAAACGTTTGCAACGATGAGACGGGAACTCGCCCATCACGATTAACATTTTCTACGATTTATCCTCCTCTCGGATAAAGCCCCGAAAAGCATTCACGCGCGTTTACACGCGTTCTCTCGTCGTCGTCGTCGTCGTCATCGCGGCAGTGCCGAGAGAAACATGCCGAGGTGAAGCAGGAAGAGCGAGTCTCGTCTTGAAAGAGAGGGAGAGGGAGAGAGAGAGAGAGAGAGATTCAAAAGGTGCTCGACGGGGCCCAGGCGTAGGCTACCCGTGATCATCATGACAAAAGCTCGGGGCAAACATCCGTTCAATTTATTAGCTTATAGGCAACGCCGTCTTCTCGTACTACCTACTATACACCACCTACGACACCGGTTACAGACCGCCTATAATGTCCGCAATATTATGGACACGTTTCCAAGCTAGCAGCTCTTTTCCTCTCCCTCTCCTTCTTTCTGACGGGCCTGCTCCACCCTTCCGAGGTGTTCGTTCTCCCCAATAGAGTCCCAATTTTTACGGTCGCGAGAAGCCCGTGATATTTTTCTGAGCCCTCGGGGGTAAAAGATCATCGGGATGTATTCGAGGATTAAACCCCCCGATGCTATATTCATACATAATGTTCGGTGATGTAGTTTGATAAATAGAATATATGTATATCATCGAAAAAGAAAGAAATTCCTCATTTCTAATAAAATTAAAATGTAATAATAAAATGAAATAAAATAATTTAGTAAAATAATTTAATAAAATTAAATTAATTAAATAATACTTAATTAATTTAATAATCAAATTAAAATGTTAAAGTGTAATTGTTAAATTGTAGACGATTAAAAGAGGATTTAGCGAATTATTGTTATAACTATCAATTGTATACATAATGCATCAACATACTTCAAAGTATTTAAATTTTAATGTAAATAAATTATGTTCCCAATATTTAAAAAATTTCCTCTTTAAATTTTAAATCACAAACAAAAATTCACATGTACAACTATCTCTTAAATAATATTTTGTCATTTCATTAGCATTATTCGTATCAGATATCGCCGGTCTCAAATCTTGTTGCTTGTTTCCGAGAAAATCAATATGTTCTGTAGTTAAAGTAATCTTTTAATTAATCCTTATTCATACCTTGCCATACGGGGTACGCGCGTGAAACACGTGCTTCCAATTAAGGAATAAAAGAGATATTTTAGAGAGCGAGGATTAACTTTTATCGAGCGTTTACAACGGGACGTCAGGAGAGATAGTGGAATATTAAGTTTCGCACGGTTTACCGCCAATCTCGCGATAAAGGTGAGACTCGCGCCGTAAATTCGCGCATTTATTCCGCGCGACTTTAACCTCTCACGTTAATAAGCAGGAAGAGGAGGCATCGCTAAATTTAATTACAGGGATAAAATTTTCTCAAACATTGCCATCGCCATCACGGAAGGAACGAATTTTCGCGGAGACAACGAGAGACCGGTTTATCATCGATCGGCCAGCAATGACGACGACGACAATGGCGAGAACGGATATTACGTTCCTGGCAACATGAACGCCCACGATTAGCAATCGCGCCGATGATAAACCAGGCCCACGCTTCCACCCTGATGGGGTGATGTCCCGTCGCATTCGTTTTACGAGGCCATTTTCGGCGCGCGCGATCGCTCGAGGACTCGTCAACGATCACGCGAGCCGAGAGAATTGATATGAGAGCGTGAAAAACGACAACGTGAGCATCGCCAACGTCGTTGGCGCTAGTCATTCGTTAAAACGACGCGTGTGTCGCTTGCTCAGTGGCGAATTTACGGAAACCACGGCTCTCTTTCCAGAGTCTGTCTTTTGTATAAATAAACCTTTATTTTTTATAATCATGTTATAATAAGAGAATTATAACACATCCAAGATATGTAAAATTAATGTAACGTTGAAAAATATTGAAAAAAAAAAATAATTTCTCTAATAATTAATTTAATTTAATTTATTAATTTCTTTAATAATTACTTTAATTTAATAATTTTTATAATAATAATTCTATATCTGTAATAATAATAATTTAATTAATTTAATAGTTTCTCTAAGCAAATACCTAGAATCTTCCTTCACGTCTCGAGCGAAAAAATTTAAATTTTTAAAAAAATCCGAATATAATCACCGAGAGAGTTGTATCCACCTAGGGATTATGTCTTCGGGGCGTAATCGAAGAAGGGAGGGAAGAAGGTTCTTTTGCGCCACGTAATAGCGGTAGCATGTCCAACGGACTCGACATTTCGCGTCCGGCGGCTATTGTGCGCTAAACTCCGAAATAAAGGGGGAGATACACCGCGCGGCCCAGGAATTACGCATCCGCTGAAAGGCAGGCGCAAATTACAGAACGGCGTAATGGCCGGGGTACATGGAGCGCCTTATCGTCGACAATTTCTGCGCGCGGGCTGCCCGAGGAGGAAAATCCTGCGCGCAAAATTACCCCCCAGAACGGAGATTATATGGAGATCGGTGGTTGATTTGCACGCTTCTCTCGCGACGCGTGAACGTTTAACTATTTTAATGCCAAATTAAACTCTCTAATTACACGAGTGTGATGGGGATTTGAACAAGTATTAAATAATTATAGAATCTAAAATAAGATGATAATTATTTTTTGTTTAACGCGAGAGCGATTACGTCGTCCAAAGGGTAATCTATCTCGTAGATTAAACTTTTTTAGAATTTAATTTAAATAAAATTTTTTTCGTAATTAATTCTCATCGAATAAATGTCCTCGAAAAGAGATAACATTTATTAATTCTACATTAAATTCCGCAAATGCGCCACGATTCTCTTACCTGACCATGTTTATCCATGTCGTTATTGGTCAGTTTCACCTTCTCGAAGGAGACGATCTGCTTCAGCAATTGATCACCGGTGAAGGGGGAATCGGGATGAATGTAAAGTCGCGCGGGCGCCGGCGGATCCGCTTTGCCAGCCTCTAGCCAGCAACTACGATGATAGGCGTATCGATACCTCTTATTGTCGACCGGCACAATGTCCATCAACACTGCATAACGACCTTCTGGCTTGAGTCCGCGGAAGCCTACCCGGCACGTTGGAAACATTCGTCTGCGAAAAAATGCGTAATGGATTTATTATTAATATATATGTATAATAGAGACAAACAATATATTCATGATTAATTAAGTATATAAATAATTGAAAGTTATAAGAAATATAATTTTTCAACTTAGATACTTCATTTAAATACTTAGTTTTTCAAGGTGATTAATTTTTCAATATTTGCAATTAAACTTAATTTTTATAATTAATTTCTTTGTCACAGTTTTTCAAAAAAATAAATATAATTGCAATTATATCAAATTATACTTAATCTGTTAAACAATTGCTTGTATTATAAACGTGAAAATGAGAAATAAAAACGAGTTTCGACTTTTCTCGCAACGTTATGTAACCTCTCTCTCTTCCGATAAATATAAAATGACATAACAAAATAAAGGTAAATATTTATACTTCCTGGCGTATATTCATCGTTAGAATCGCAAATGAATTATAGAACATTTTTAAGCATATTTTCTCAACAACGTAAACATTTTACAATGCATATAATTCTTTATTGATAGTCAAAACGTGTTTTTCGATTTTTAAAAAGAGCTCCACATATTACTGTAAATTAAACATACATATTTCTATTATATTGTTATATTATTATATCATATTATATTATTCTTCAGAGTAATCTTTCGTTTACAAATAGCAATTTCTTCCTCTACAGCCCCCTAAAAAAAGATTACTTATAAAAAATCAAATTTTCACATCATTTGACAAGCTCTGTCATTTTCAATTATTTTCTACGATCTTAAATTCATTCATTACGTTAAATTTATCATAGACGATCAAAAGAAACGTCTGTTCCTGTAGGCTTCGAGCTGCAGAGAGACCGAGCCTCGAGTTCCGGCCGTACACATAGTCGACTTTTCAACACCTCGAGAGGAAATAGCGCACGTCAGAGCGCACGCGCCATCCGGACGCACCTTCGTCGCACGTCGACGTCGATGCGAAAGCACCGCTGAATATCTCGCTGGCGAAGCGACACGGAAAGCATGACCTTCCTTCGTCCCCAGGTCCCCTCGTCCGAGAGCTTTTACCCGGCCCGCGATGTACGTCCTCGTGCGATCGCACGCGATAGACTCGCGCACGTGATTTACCGCGTCGCGGGAAAGAACGTCGGGCGGAATTCTACGGTCAGATGGCAGATATGTCAATAGCGATTTTCTCACGGTGAAAAACTGGGTTCCAGTTAATTTATCGCGGAAAACGGCCGCGCGGGGACGAACGTGCCTGGGAATACCTATTTTAAAACGCAATCGCGCCATTTCGCTCCGTAATATTTATCGCGTAATTGCAAACTATGTGAAATACAACGGATATATCTGATAAATGAAAAGGCTCGCTCGCGTTTCGTTAAGAATACATTACGTCAAAATTACATTTCTGTATAATTTCACGCAACACAATGCTCTCATTTGATTATTTCCCTTCCAGACGCTTAATCGATTCGACAAAGAGAACCGAAGATGACGGATTCATCGCGACATACCTGTCGAGGGCGGCCGATGGTGTGCCCAGGTTCGTGCAATCCGCTAAGAGCTCATCAATGTCATCACCATCATCATCATCGTCGCCGTCAGAAGTATGATGTGGCTACCGGTACATCAAGAAATATACCCTTGTCGGACGAATTTACTCCGATGCTGCTAAAATCTTTAAAGCCAGATATTCCCGACACATCCGCAATCTCGACGAAGGATGAATCGATTTCCAAAATGTCATCATCTTTCGCCAGGATCGCTCTGATCAAAGTCGCGCCCAGCCCGAGAGCTCCTCGACCCGAAGAAAGCGACATTTCTGCGATCTTGCGAGAGATCCTGACGCAGAAAAAGTTAGAGAAGCTCGGAGAACCGTCAACGAGCGAGCCGCCGCTTTTGAGAAAAATCGATACGACGATTCCAACGAGAGCGATATCCTATCCGAAGGGAACGATTGTGAGAATAGCGGCCAATCTGGCACCAAGGACTCTGGACATGAAATGTATAATTGCGAAGAAACTGAATGGATTAACACCGAAAGTAGCGTCGTCGCTTCTTCTGTATCTGATGATTTTCATAATCTATGCAGGAATCCACGTATTATTGGCTGTAATCACATGGCGAACATCTGCCTATCAATTTTTCGCGTCCAGTCAAATTTGCGGGCTTCTCGCGTTTCTCATGTGGAGGATAACCGGTACAATATTAATCTGAGTTACTGCAAATAGATGTGACATTAAGATAATACGCTGCAAAACAAACATCGAAATTGATTGACGTTTTTTATACTAATTTATCACAATTACATATATGGAGACAACATCCTTGCACTGTGTTTCGCTGAAGTGAGGATTGATTAATCGACGATCAACGAAATTGATGAGTCCTATCATTTAGAAAGTGTGAGATTTGAATATTAAAAATTCCAACAAAGACTAAAGCTAAGCGTTAATAATTTAAAAGATCGAGGGTCGATTTTTAATGTCGATTTGTAATATTGAATAGCATCGTGATTGATGTTTCACTACTGAAATGATCACTATTTTTTATAATTTATTCTTTATAGTATCTATGTTTAGAAACGATGAGTGGAATACGCATAAATATGCATGTGCTGGAATATATATTTTTAGACATGTACATATTTTGAAAAATTAATGTATCTCATTATCTCTCATTATCTTTGTGAATTAGAAAATAAATTTTTATTGGAATCTGGAACATACCTATATGTTTGTATATATTTTACCTATATGTTTGTATATATTTTTTTCTTCATTAAAAAAATTGCAATTATGATGATATCATTTTTATCAAAATAATTATTATTATTTTTACACGAAAGAATTAAAGGCACACATGCATACATAAATACATACAAATACATACATGCGTGCTTTTTTTCATTCAGATCCTTGTTACGCACGAAAGTTTCCATTGCTCCTGTCACTTTTTTTCACAGGACCGCAAGGGTAATCGCGGTTTTCTAGATCTATTTATCCGATGACAGGATCCTGATCCTTTTCCTTCACGGAGCCGAGCCCGAAGCCGCAGGAGTCGTTCACAAGGAGCTGAACGAAACGAGATCGGGGAAGAGGAGAGGGCTTTAAACGAATGCAGATAAGAGAGGGGTGTCACGCGAGTGCCCTGCATCTATTCGCGAAGCCCCGAGAAGACGGGCCCCGAGAAGACGGGCCCCGCGAAGAGGATGGGGTCGGTCCCCCGCGACGCAAACCTCATCGCCTCGAAGCGGTTTTGCGGTTTCGAGCTCCTCGAAAACGATCCTCCCTCTTCCTCGGCACGTACGCGTTCGGTTAGGTTCGTGCGGTTTTTAACAAGGGCATTGTCCAACCGCGTTGAATAGTATCGTCGTTACGTCGCCCCGGGGCCCGGCGCACCTTAACGACACGATTGTCGCTCCTCGAGCGACGAGTTTTAACCGAACGGTGCATTCGAAATTCGCACGCGCATTTTTGGAAGCACGAGACGCGAGCGAGATCTTTATTCGTGACTAAGTCGTGAGACTCTCGCTGCGTTTTTCACATTTGTAATTCGATTCCAGAAGCGAACTCGAGATTTGCTTGTTTCGACTTTATGTCTTGATACTGTGATACCTGATGAAACTCGCGATTACTGATTAATTTACAACATGCTAATTGATTTACAATATTCTCTAAAATTTGAGTTTTTCATATAGATATTTGAGTTTTTCATAAGATATTAATTATATGTATATATTATATATAGTGAAATTTTCGTCTATATAATTATTATAGTATTCGCAGGAATTAATATCACACAGTAAAAAATTGTATATTAAAATTTTCTTGTGTTGCCACGTTTTGATTAGTACTGTAAAATTAACATACGACTATGTTATTATTTTTTATAACGTTTTCATGTGTTACATTTATGTCAACTTAACAGTTTGTATATGTCTCTTAAAAATGGAATATTATTTTGAGTATTTTTAACATAATCATTTTAAACAATCAACATATCCTAAAGTCAGTTTAACATTCTAAGAAAAGTTAAAGTGAATCTTCAAAGAATCTTGAACTTTGACATACAAAATAATCAAATTTATTAAAATCAAGTGTTTCAATTACAAATAATTTAAGTCAAAATAATTATTATTATATGTTAATGTCCTACAACAATTCTTCGAGTTATTGTAACTATTTTTCCATGTAATTTTTAATTAATTAATTTGTATATTATTTTGACATTACATTTAAAATCACAATAAATGTACAGTATTGTGTCAATTATTTAACATTTTTAGTTTGTTAATAAGTAACATACGACGAGTTATTTAACTTAAAATTTAGAATGGACCTTCTGGGACATGTGAAAAATATTAAAATTAATATTTTATTTTTTACTGTGTAGAGACAAGAAAAGATGTGGTTACTATTCATTTCATAACAATTTTATACAAAGTTACACACACATCAAATATCAATATATATAATTTAATATCTTGTACATGTTTACATATAAAATTATAAAAAATTGAAAATACATATGCGAATCAATTTTAGAGAATAACAAAACAAATATATCGATTCGGTTAGTTTTTGTGCATTTACATGTTTGAGATTCTGCATAAAATTATCATGAAAATAGTAACCATATCTTTTTTTGTTCTGGCATAAGTCTCTGATGCGAATATTAATTGATCGAAAAAAGGAAAAAAGTCGCGATTGATGCTACTATCTCAATTAATCTGAGTTGACAACATTCTATAAAATCATCAGGGTCGTTTGCACCTCTTTTAGACCACAGTACCCTGAGGCAGCTGCAGCTATTCGCTTATCGCCCGAAGCCAGCTTTGACGTGGACGACGACGTTTCTTCCGAACAACTCGGTGGTGCTCGACTTTCACCTGCTGCTATGAGCGCACATTATGCTAAGAATAAATTTCGCAATCGCGCACGCGCGCTAGTGTTTTCACTGCTATTTTTAGCGTTGTATAGACGCGCACACGTACACAAGCGGGTGTCAACTTTTCGTAAA